GCAAAATGAAAAAAGAATCCAAAAATGCGAGGATAGTGTAAGGAGCCTCTGGGACAGCAATTATAGGGGTGCCAGAAGATGAGAGAGAGCAAGATATTGAAAACCTATTTGAAGAAATAATGACAGAAAACTTCCCCCACCTGGTGAAAGAAATGGACTTACAGGTCCAAGAAGCGCGGAGAACCCCAAACAAAAGGAATCCAAAGAGGACCACACCAAGACACATCATAATTAAAATGCCAAGAGCAAAAGATAAAGAGAGAATCTTAAAAACAGCAAGAGAAAGAAACTCAGTTACCTACAAGGGAATACCCATACTACTGTCAGCTGATTTCTCAACAGAAACTTTGCAGGCCAGAAGGGAGTGGCAAGAAATATTCAAAGTGATGAATACCAAGAACCTACAACCAAGATTACTTTATCCAGCAAAGCTATCATTCAGAATTGAAGGTCAGATAAAGAGCTTCACAGATAAGGAAAAGCTAAAGGAGTTCATCACCACCAAACCAGGATTGTATGAAATGCTGAAAGGTATCCTTTAAGAAGAGGAAGAGGAAGAAAAAGGTAAAGATACAAATTATGAACAACAAATATGCATCTATCAACAAGTGAATCTAAGAATCAAGTGAATAAATAATCTGATGAACAGAATGAACTGTTGATTATAATAGAATCAGGGACATAGAAAGGGAATGGACTGACTATTCCTGGGGGGGAAAGGGGTGTGGGAGATGCGGGAAGAGACTGGACAAAAATCGTGCACCTATGGATGAGGACAGTGGGTGGGGAGTGAGGGCGGAGGGTTGGGCGGGAACTGGGAGGAGGGGAGTTATGGGGGGAAAAAAAGAGGAACAAATGTAATAATCTGAACAATAAAGATTTAATTAAAAAAAAAATGCAAAACACAGAAGAAAAAAAAAAGAAAAAAAAAAAAGAACCTATAGCAACACAGTGGAGCAATTAATGAATTACCACACAGAAAGGATCACTGTGGAGACGGCTTAGCTGAGACATCTTAAAATGGCTAAGAACCAAGAAGAAGGGTGGAGGCTATCAATATAAGCCATAAGGTGTGTGCCACTGAGGTCCCCAGTGACCTGCTCTACAGAGGGCCCGGCAGCCTTTGCCACTCATACAGCCCCCAGGACAGAATTCCTGCAGCTTTCCCAGCACAGGGCTCTGCAGTGTATGCTGGCATGGACCACAGCAGCCTGCTCTGCAGAGAAAGCTAGCACCTTTTGACACTGAGGTAACCAACAGCTATTGCTGCCGCTAGGAGATGCTGCTGGGTCACTCCCAGAAGACATTGCTGTGCCCCCTGGAACAGGGCTGCCAGCCCCTACCTCCAACTCTGTGCATACCCTGGCCCCCACAGTCCTGGCTGCTCCACATGTACCTGTGCTTCAGACCTCAGCTCCACAGCTGTTCCACATGTGCACACATCTCAGGTACCAGAGCCATGGAAACTGGCCAGCAGCCTAGACCCTACACTCAGCCACTCAAGAAGCATACATGATCCACTCCTGGCTCTGTGACCGATCCAAGTATGTCCATGCCTCACACTAATACCACCACAGGTCCCTCCAAAGCCAGACCCATTGCCAAAAGGGATCCCTTGGCTATGATCAGGAAGTTCCCCAGCAGCCGTTGTCACTGAAGAGTGTAACAGTCCTCACTACCACTGCACCATGGAGAACCCTTGCAATCTTTAGCAACATTGACTTCAGCTGATGGAGCTGAATGTGTCTATGCCACCTGACCTACCTGGGAGCTGGAAACATAAGGCCCCAATAAGCCAGTGTCCTTGCACCACCTGCTGGTGAAGGCCTTTCCCCACCAAAAGCATCTGTAAACTATGGAAGAGGTGACTGCTCTATCAAATCCACAGACATCAACACAAGCCCATGAGAAACATGAAAAACTAAGGAAACATGACACCAAAGAAACACAATATTTTCTAGTTACTGACCCCAAAGAACTGGATATCTACTACTTGCCTGAAAGAGAATTTAAAAAATATTGTATTAAGGAAGTTCAATAAGTTACAAGAAAGTACAGAAAGACAATGCAGTAAAATCAGTAAAACAATATACAAACAAAATGAGTCCAACAAAGACAGAATAATGAAAAGAAACCTAACAAATTCTAAAGCTGAAAAATACAATTAATTAAATAAAAAATACAATATAGAACAGTGATGGCGAACCTATGACACGCGTGTCAGAGGTGACAAGAGAACTCATTTTTTAAATTTTTCTTTGTTAAATGGCATTTAAATATATAAAATAAATATCAAAAATATAAATCTTGGTTTTACTATGGTTGCAAATATCAAAAAATTTCTATATGTGACACGGCACCAGAGTTAAGTTAGGTTTTTTTAAAATGCTGACACACCGAGCTCAAAAGGTTTGCCATCACTGATATAGAACATCAACAACAGACTTGATTAAGCAGAAAAACAGAATGTGTGAACTAAAAGACAGGTCATTAGGAATTATGGGGGAAGGGGGGGGGGTGGATCCAATTAGCAGAAGGAAGGAAATAACAAAGATCAGAGCAGAAGTAAATGAAGTGAAAACTATAAAAATAGAAAAGATCAATGTAACTAGGGGCTATTTTTTAGAAAAGATAAAACAAAACTAACAAAACTTTTAGCTAGACTAAGAAAAAAAAGAAGACCCAAATACAAAGGCTTATGTTAAGAGACTATTATGAACAAATATATGCCAACAAATTAGATAACCTAGAAAAAATGGATAAATTCCTAGAAACATAAAACCTACCCATGAAGAAATAGAAAATCGGAATAGATTATAACTAAGAAGGAGAGCTAATCAGGGATCAAAAACCTCTGATCAAAGAAAATCCTAGGACCAGATGTCTTTGCTGGTGAATTCCATCAAACATTTAATGAATAATTAATGCCAAGCCTTTTTTACATTCTTGCCAACACTTGTTCTCTCTTGTCTTTTTTATATTAGTTGTCTTAACAGGTATGAGGTGATATTTCATTGTCGTTTTGATTTGTATTTCCCTAATGATTAGTGGTGTTGAGTACTTTTCATGTGCCTATCTTTCACCACCGCACATGATATTAGTTGTGGGCTTGTCATACATGGTCTTCAGGTTTATGTATTACTTTTACTAGTATTAGGGGATGGAGGTGAATAATTAGTTTAAAAACACTCCAAACTACACGAAAACTTAAACCCTTTGGGCAGTCAGCCTCCTGGTATCATATATTCTTTAAGGTTTTTGACACTGGTGGAAAATTTCAGTCTCCAAAATACTACAAACCTAATGTGACTGGCGAATCAACAAGCAATCTAGCTACCCTCAGCAAAAACTAATATATACCACAATGCGAATTTACAAGAATTTTGTTAGATCTTAAAGGTAACAAAAACCATCTAACAGCATTATTACTGTCACACTCACTTTCATACAGTTCTTTTATCTCATATCAATGTCAGCCTCTGTGTCTGAGTATACTGCACCAAGCTACTCTTCAGAGAGTTACTTCCTAGTCCTGTGTTAGGTGCCTGGGAGTGCAAGTTTCATACCTCACAGATACCTTTCAATTTGCTGTTTTCTCCCTTTACCGTAAGAGATCCAGCTGAAATGCCAGATAACTCTGTAGAGCCATTTCTGATTTGACTGGCACAACTGATAGTTCCCTTCCCAATACCCCACAATACTTGTTGATACCGCTGACAGAAATAACTACATTTTATATTAATTGGTGTATGTGCTTCAATCACTTGATGTTGACTGTGAACTCATTCCCTGAAGTAACGTTATGTTTCTGTTGCATGCCTAGTGGCTACCTGAAGGCCTGGCATGCTTCAGGTGCTCAACAGACATTTGTTGAATTGAAATGGGTCCAGAAGAACTAGAACATAAAATGAGCATGTCACACTCAGTGCAGGGAAAGTAGTTTCACTTTAATGTTTCTCCCTCCATTCCTTTGTCAGACCTGTGGATTTTGTACTTTAGGGGACTTTTTTTGTGGTTTCTATTTAGTGGTATGGTACACTAATATATCATAGTAATAACATCACACTGGTGCCTTATTCTGACCATCTGAAGCTAAATGCCACCAATGCATTTTAAATCCTCACCTGCACCTCCTATAAATTGAAATCATGACATATAACAATCTGGGTATGAGTGAAGTTTTGCCAGAAGAACAAATGTTAGTGACACTAATTAATTAATTATCATGTTTGGAATTTAATGTATCCATATTGATAGTAATAATTTTTTTCAGGAATAATTCAAACAAAAATTCAACAACATAAAAGGCAGGATATTAACTTGCATCAAATACTTCATAGTCTATAAATATTCTATTTTCATAATTTTTTATAAAGAATAGCTGCTATAGAACTCTATTTATAGACTTCTCAAATGGAAATTTCTCCATTTCAAAGTGAGTATAAACTTAATTAGAGCAATTCCACAAAGACAAAAGGAAGTACATAATAGGAGGAAAGACTATCTAATATTTAAAAGGCAAATTAGATACTGCATATCATTAAGAGGAGTCAAAGATAGAAAGCCTATAAAGCAAATTCTCCTACACTGCTTTACAGGTTATTTCCACATTAAAAGTCCACATCAAAATTTTAGGCTCAACAATTAGACAACTAGAAAAACACTGAAGGTCTAAAGGAGGGCAACGAGCTTAAGAGGCAGGAATTAGATATATTAGATATATTTACTGCAAATGGTTAGACAATCTGTCCATATCTTAAACTTAGACCTCAGAAAGGTGAAGAGGATGAATTCATACTGCCAAGGTTTATAGCAAGAACTCAAGGCCTCCTGGCCCTGGGTCTTATTCACAATTAATTCTGAGAATGTCAATTTCTCCCTTTATAATACTGGCCTTCATTCTATGTTGAGCAGATAAAAATTACTAAGTCACAGATTTCTAAAACAAATAAAATATCCCCAACCTCAACGTTTTATATCATTCACAATTTTCTACTTACAAAGTCTTGACGTATATCATTGAAGTCTTTGCCATATTTTTCCAGTGCCTCTTCAAATAAAGTAGCTTCAGAGGCTGACCATTCTTCCATTTCATCTCTGCATAAAACAGGTCCTCCAAGTGGCACTAAGACACTTATTGCACTGCTCAAGTCATAGCTGTGTCTATATAATGTATCCATAGCATGAAACTAAAGAAAACAAACAAAATGGAGAGAAAAGATCAGCCATAAATGCAAATGTCCTAGATTATTCAAGAACAGATACTCAAGTGCATAATGCAGTTAATTAACAACCATATACTGAGGTAGATATTTTCTCACAAACTTAAGAAAAATTTGAATAACAGATTACTTAACAATTATTTAAAATATCATTTACTGCTTTAAGAAAATGTTGATTTGTGCCTTTTAAGGTGTGCATTTTTTTTAAATGATTCGTTCGTTATAGCAACCTAACTATGGATATCCAGGACCTCCAGGCATTAAATTGGAAACCTGTATGTTTCATCATTCTTTCTGTTAAAAATGCTAAAGTCACTTCAGCTACTATAGAAGGCTGGCACAGCCTTCCTGAACAAGATCCTAAAAAATAGATCATGTTGCCCGGCCAGCATGGCTCAGTGGTTGAGCGTCTACGTATGAACCAGGAGTTCACGGTTCGATTCCCAGTCAGGGCACATGCCCGGCATGCAGGTTCTATCCCCAGTGTGGGATGTGCAGGAGGCAGCTGATCAATGATTCTCTTTCATCACTGATGTTTCTACCTCTCTCTGAAATCAATAAAAAATATATCAAGGAGGGAAAAAACATCATGTGTCAGAGAGTGAGAAAAAAATTTCTCAGATTGGATTAAGAAAATGATGTACTAAGAAAGGAGAAATAGAAAAAAATAAATGGAACTGAGAATGAATGGTAGTAAGACAAAACAAAATTACACATCTGTGTAAAACAAACCAAACAAAATTACCTATCTATGTTAAAAATTAACTTGGTTGACATTTTTAAGACCAAGAATGACCAGGCAGGGCTTGGAACAGCTAGGCTGGTGAGGTTGGTGGGGGTTTCCTATAAATTTCAAGGAAGAGTGATTTGAAGAATAATTTGAAAGGAGAAAAGATAGGTTACAATAATAAAAGTGGCTTTTTGCAAAAGTACCTTGGGTGTAACATTTTCCTCCCATCAGGAGAGAATAAACTAGGTTCCAAACTTTTAAGTTTTGAAAAACTTGGTGGTATTTTTACTGGCGAGAAAGAAATTCATCTATAACATGTATGCCCATTTGTATACAGGAAAACTGCAAAACAGGACAACTGGTTCTACTTCTGGATAAGCATGTAGGTGTGGTGAAGGTTTGGCAGACAAGGTGATCAAATCTTGTCAAGTTAAGAACTAGTTCTGTTTTAACTTTCTGGCACATGAAAGCCAAGTCTTGCACCTTTTTTTTTTTTTACATGAAATATCTGTACTCAGAAAATTATAAGACACTGAAGAAAGAAACTGAAGAATATACAAATAAGTGGAAGCATATACTGTGCTCATGCACTGGAAGAATTAACATTGTTAAAATGACCATACTTACCCAAGCAATTAATAGATTCAACGCAACTCCTATCAAAATACCAATGACATATTCACAGAACTAGAAAAATAATCCAAAAGTGTATATGGAACCACAAAAGATCCTGGATAGCGGCATCAATCTTGAGAAAAATGAACAAAGTTGGAGAAATCACACTACCTGATATCAAACTACACTACAAGGCTACATATAATCAAAACAGCATGATTCGGGCATAAAAGACAGATCAATGGAACAGAATAAAAAGCCAGACATAATTAATCAATTAATATTTTATAAAGACGGCAATAACATACAATGGAATCAAGACAGTCTATTCAATAAATGGTGTTGGGAAAAGTGGACAGATACATGTGAAAAAATTAAACTAGAAACCACCTTCTTACACCATATATAAGAATAAACTCAAAATGGATTAAAGACTTGAATGTAAGACTCAATACCATAAAAATCCTACAAGAAAACACAGGCAGTAAAATCTCTGACATTTCTCTTAGTAATATTTTTTTCTGATATATTTCCTTGGGCAAAGGGAAAAAAAGAAAAAAATAAACAAATGGGACTACGTCAAATAAAAAGTTTTTGCACAGCAAAGGAAACCATCAACAAAATGAAAAGACAACCCACTGAATAAGAGAACATATTCACCCATGATACATCTGGTAACGGGTTAATATCCAAAATTATAAAAACTCAATACCCAAAACAACAACAATCCAATTAAAAAACTGGACAGAGGACCTCACTAGACATTTCTCCAAAAAGGACATACAGATGATCAACAGGAATATGAAAACCTGCTCGATGTCACTAATCATCAGAGAAATGCAAATTAAAATCAGAATGAAATATCACCTCACACCTGTTAGAATGACTATTATCAATAATTCAACAAATAACAAGTGTTGGCTAGGATGTGGAGAAAACGGAATCCTCGTGCACTCTTTGTGGGAATGTCATTCGCACGGCTATTTCGGAAAACAGTATGAAGGCTCCTAAAAAAATTAAAAATAGGACAAACTTATGACCCAGCTATTTCACTTCTGGATATTTATCTGAAGAAAGCCAAAACACCAATTCAAAAATATATATGCATCCCTATGTTCATTGCAGCATTATTTACAATAGCCAAAATATGTAAGCAGCACAAGTCATCAATGGACAACTGGAAAAGATGTGGTACATGCCCAGACAATATGGCTCAGTGGTTGAGAATCAACCCATGAACCAAGAGGTCACTAGTTTGATTCCAATCAGGATACATGCCTGAGTTGTGGGCTCAATCCCCAGTAGGGTAGGTATAGGAGCTAGCTGATCGATGTTTCTCTCTCATTGATGTTTCTATCTCTCTATCCCTCTTCCTTTCCTCGCTCTCTAGTAATCAATAAAAAGTTTTTTGTTTTTTGTTTTTAAAAGAGAGAGAGAAGATGCGGTACATATATTTAATGGAATATTACTCAGACAGAAAAAAAGAATGAAATCTTACCATTTATGACAACATGGATGGACCTAGAGAGTATTATGCTAAGTGAAGTTAAGGCAAATAAGAACAAATACCATATGATTTCACTTATATGTGAAATCTAAAAAAATAAATGGAACAAAACAGAAACAAACTCATAGATACAGAGAACAAACTGATAGTTGCCAGGTAGGTGGAGGTTTGGGGGAGGTGGGTGAAAAGGTGAAGGGATTAAGAAGTACAAATTGGTAGTTATGAAATAGTCATGCGGATGTAAAGTACAGCATAGGGAATACAGTCAATAATATTGTAATAACTGTGTTTGGTACCAGGTGGGTACTAGACTTATTGGGGGGATCACTTTATAAATTATATACATATCTAATCACTATGCTGTACACCTGAAACCATCAATTTCCTAGTTATAATCACAGCTAAGACCACTGACCATGTATAGTCTTTTGCTATATGTGTCACAATCGTAGAATAATAACCTCAACTTTCAAGTAAATTTCTTCTCATTCTTCTGTAGCAGGGGTTACAAAAAATGTTAGAATTAATTTTTATTTTTTTCTTGTGCTCCTCAAACTCCAGCATCCATGAAACTAAGTGATTATTGTTTCTGGATATATGACTTATGAAAATGAAAAGAAAGTTCAATAGCACTTATTTTTTTTTTTTAAATATATTTTATTGATTTTTTACAGAGAGGAAGGGAGAGAGATAGAGAGTTAGAAACATCGATGAGAGAGAAACATCGATTAGCTGCCTCCTGCACATCTCCCACTGGGGATGTGCCCGCAACCCAGGTACATGCCCTTGACCGGAATCGAACCTGGGACCTTTCAGTCCGCAGGCTGACGCTCTATCCACTGAGCCAAACCGGTTTCGGCTCAATAGCACTTATTGATCCCTTCAATTAATAATGTATTTTCATAAATGATTGTTATTTTTTAATCCTCACCAGAGGATATGTTTAGAGAAAGGAAGTGGGGAGGTGGGGGGGGAGAGAGAGAGAGAGAGAAATGCCAATTTGACAATGACACATAGATTGGTTGTCTCCCATACGGCCACCACCAGAAACGGAACCTCAACCTAGATATGTTCCTGACTGGGAATCAAACCTTCAACCTTTTTGTTTAAGGGATGATGATCCAACCAAGAAGGGACGACAATCCAACCAACCAAACCACCCAGCCAGGGCCATTAATGATTATTTTTAAAACTCCTATATAATAAAAGGCTAATATGCAAATCGACTGAAGGGCGGAATGACCAGTCGCCATGATGCACACTGACCACCAGGGGGCAGACGCTCAAGGCAGGAGCTGTCCCCTGGCGGTCAGTGTGCTCCCACAGGAGGAGCACTGCTCAGCCAGAAGCCGGGCTCATGGCTGGTGAGCGCAGCAGGAGCCTCTCCTGCATCCATGGCAGCACTAAGGAGCCATCTGTCAGACATCCCCTGAGGGCTCCCAGACTGCAAGAGGGCACAGGCTGGGCTGAGGGACAACACCAACACCACCACCACCACCACCACCCCACCCCCCCCCCCAGTGCACAGATTTCGTGCACTGAGCGTCTAGTATTTATAATGAACAACAAAACTAAAAAAGATTAAATGGTACTCAAAATCAATAATTATACAAATTAATTATGTTGCTGAGATTCCTTAGGAGGTAGAAGTAATTTTTATAATTAACGAGTGCTATGAAACCAGAAGTGAGAGAATTAAATGAGTTTTTCTCAACTGATATTATACTAACCACTCAAAGCATAAATGGATTTTCTGTCTTTTGTTTACGTTAGATGAATGAAAATACTCTTCTTATAGTCACTCTTAAAATTGATAATGAGCTATTATCTAATAAGACTTCAAAGAACCAAAGTACTTTCTCAACCTTTATAAGTTGTTATGACCAAAATCTCAAGTGATTACAGAGTGTGTGTGTTACTGAACAGCGAAGTAAGCTGGTGAGCGCAGCAGCCTTTGGAAGACTTTGGAAGACTTTGGAAGACTAGCTCCTGTATTGTGCCACAACTCAAATGGAAAGAATGGGGCAGACTCACGGCTTACCAGGAGCTATGAAACCTCCAAAGCCCACATTTAATCCATAGCCTAGAAGAGAGTGCAGTAATAATCACTATATG